CCTGTGCTGGAAAGTAATTAGTTCTTTGTAATAATTTCTCTTACATTTAGAACATTAGAATGAGGAAGTTGGCTTCTCTTCTACTATTTTACACAAAGAACAAATTTCATCACAATATTGTTAGCACTCATTCTCTAACCTTCTAAATCCTTGAAGACATTCAATTACCATTGGATATGATCTTGATATATCATAATTTAATTTAGGTTTATTTGGCAAGTATTAAATTACAAAACCTTGAAATTACCATTTCCCTGGTTCTAATAAGTTATCTTATTAGCATTATTTTGAATTTAATATAGGACAAATGCTACAGATTCCTGTTATGGAAGACACAATATAACCATCCTCACAAAGTACACATTTTATTGTTGTTTATATTGTCTTGATGCATTGTTTACAATGTAGAATAAGGTTTTAACAATTTATAATTTCTAAAGAATTAGTGAAATCGTCTGATAGTGTGCAAATTTCCCTATCATCAAAATTGATATAAGATCTGAGACAATTTTACGAAGTTGGTTTTTAGTTGATACAAGTTGAAGTTTTAAATTCAAATAAATATCCTTCTATACACTAAGCACAACCCTATTTTATCTCTTCATCACTAAGGGAAAAAATTTCCAGATCCCCAAGAGTAGATCTTGTAGGATCACTAGCCAAATATTCAAAACAATATAAACAATTTTTTATTTGACAATTTACACACTTCTTCTAAAAATTTATAAAATTTGGAGCATAGCAAGTTTTATTCAAAAAACTAATATTTGGAGTTCTATCTAAACATAATCCATTTGTTTGTAAAATTGCACATTTATCACAGTCATTTATACACAAATAACAATTATCATTTATTAATTGACTGGCAGTGCAAAAATTTTTGAATATTAATGATGCTTCAATTAAATCGTATGGTGCTCTAACATTCAAATCACAACCAGGACAGTATTTCAATCCATCTCCTGCAAATATGTATTATAAATTTTAATCCTTAAGATATGTAGAAACAGTTCCATCTTAAGGAACAAGTAAAGATGTTTAACAAAGGAGAGAATGAATCCATTATTTTGGATCTAAAATACATTCTAAACAGGTTATTACATTATTTGTAATTATTGATGGGCTAAATAAAATACATTATAATACCATTTATAGCAATCATCATCAATTTAGAAAAAACCATATTGACATGATATTTCAAAAGGGTGAACTTCACTTTTATTAAACTATAACGTTTAATAATTAACGCATTCATTATTCTAATCTATAGTTCCATATTCACAAACACAAACTTTAAATTCTGAAATATATTTTCTATTTGAATATTCATAACATGATAAGCAATCATCTTTTGTTGGACCATCACATTCCTTGCATGTTGGATGACAATTTATCTAAAGGTTATTGAAATTAGGACAATTAAATAGTTAAAACCCTGCAAGTTGAATAGTTAAATAGTTAGATTTTTATTATAAAACATTTCCATATAGTAATTTAAATTACATCATTTTAAATTAAACTACTTCTAAAGTAATACTAAATTTTTCTTAATTATATCCATTATGAAATGTAATAGAGATTGAGATAAAGTTATCTG